GTTTAAAACATGCAATTTATGGATCCTTTTTAAGGAAGTCTTATTGGTTACGCTAATAAACCATCTTCCTACTATTTGGCCTGAACTGAAATAATGAAAAAAACTATATACATTCTCAGACACCAGCCGCAGGGTAATAATCTTCATTATCGTAAATCCAACATTTCGAGAAAGAAAATTTTGACCATTAGAGATTGATTTTATTGATTGAAGGCTCCGGAATATGAAAAACTGCTATTCATATTGCTTAATATTTGTTGCTTATTATGATAAATGTAGTTAATAAGCTCGAAGTCCATTCAAATATTGAGAAATAAATTTAAGTTTTACAGAGTAATGTCTAAAAATAGTTCAACATTTATTATTCTAACTGAAGTTTTTTTTTACTTTACTGAACTTCAGGCAAATTTTTTTTTTAAATTTAAGAGGTCTAATTGGTTTTGATTTTATCGATTAAACATCAATATACTACTTCTATTGATTTTCCATAAACTACTTAAATTTTTACTTAGAGTTCTGATTTTCTTTTTTTTTTTCTTTTTTTTTTTTTTTTTTTTTTTTGTNTTTTTTTTTTTTTTTTTTTTTTTTTTTTTTTTTTTTTTTTTTTTTTTTTTTTTTTTGCTGAACATAAGCACAGCATTGTTTAAATTCAAACATTTATGTAAGCGATGCAAAGAATTTTTATAATTTAATTTTTAGAGCTAAACTTTAAACAAAGAAAAGAACATAATTTGACGTCTTGCGTTCAAGAAAAAATTCTTGTGAGGATTTGAAACAACTTTTAATAAGCAGTCAAATGTGTTTTTTTTAAAACCATCCCAACTAAACGTAATTGGATAAAAAATTTAATTAAAAATAAATTTATTTTTCGGATCTTTTCAAAATAATTATTTTGAACAAAAAAAAATCTAAAATATCCACTAATATTGAAGTGATGAAATGAATTTATGCAATATGCTGTACTCAAACTAATGGCTAAGTTTCAGCTTAATAAATTTATTTGAAGTTGAGTAATCTTGTTCACCAAGTAAAATAAATTAAAATTGGGAATCGGATTTAATGAAAAAACTTAAAACGAAAATATTTGAGTTTTCAGACAATCGCAGACTATAAAATTATCTATCTCAGTATTATTGTCTATTTTCAGAGTTTAATTTTCGTTAGCAATTCTTAAAATTTACAAGACCCATGGGAACCCTAAATATGGTTTACCAGAAGTTCTGGTTTTCAAAATTATACTTCACATTTGGTCAAAAATCAAAGCTTAAAAGTAAATTTAACAGAATAAATAGTTTCTATGCCCTACTCCAGGATATGATAAAATTGCCAAATATTTATGCATTTACCAAATTTTGAAACCATATTTTAATGTTAATTTTGCAACAATCATTACCAAAGCTCTTCGGTAAGAATTACCGAGCTTTTTAGTGCTGAAATAATGTCAGAAACACGGAAAATTTTGCCCTTCTCCAGTAGTTTCAACCATACTTTTTTTCTCAGAGAGAAAGATTTTAAAAAAAGGAAATTTCATGTTTCTGAGAGCTTATGAGTTTATACGGAAAATTTTGCCCTTCTCCAGTAGTTTCAACCATACTTTTTTCTCAGTGAGAAAGATTTTAAAAAAAGGAAATTTCATGTTTCTGAGAGCTTATGAGTTTATACGGAAAATTTTGCCCTTCTCCAGTAGTTTCAACCATACTTTTTTTCTCAGTGTGAAAAATTTTAAATAAAGGAAATTTCATGTTTTTGGGAGCTTATAAGAAGCTGCACAGAAGATATTGTAAACTATTGCAAGTTTTAAACCATATAAACTTTTAACTCTGCTGTTTGAACTTGAAGAGTAAAAATTAAATTAAGTGAGAAAATAGTCTTCAAATTAAGTGAAGAAATAATAGGAAAATATGTTTTTTCCTTCGTTTTTTATAGTTTAAAAAATGTTTTTCATAGAACATCAAGCAATATTTATGTTTTGGGATTACTTTGATCAAGGTCTATGTTTTGAAAACGTAACTCCCAAAGTTTCTAAAAAATTTATTTATGATCTATAAAGGAGCTATAATATTTAAAATCAATTTTATTTTCTCAGTTGGAACCATCATAATTGTTTATCAATGTCATTTAACATAAAATATAAATCATTTAATTAAAGCTCTGAAGGTTAATAAATTAAGTTATTTTATATACATTTATTCATTATAAAGTTATTGCTTGAAATTATTTAAGTTTTAATTGCAATCAATTTGTTAAAATAGCTCATATAAGGCATGGAAAAAGCACAGTCGGTAGTTTCTTTAAAATAAACTTCCCGGGCCAAAGTAGCCCCAAGCATGCATTACTTTGACCCAACATTTCAAAAACCTCTTTGTTAAAAAGATTTTAAAATTTTTTAATAAATATTAATCACAGACAGAAACACATATTTGTGTGTAAAAGTATAAACCAAAAGCCTCTCACTAATAATTCCTTCACCGTGAAAAAGATCTTTAAAAAAAAAGCACTTTGTAGAAATATTTCTGGTAAAAATATATGTGGTATAATTAGGTGGTAAAAATATTTCTGAAAGAAACAAAAGTTATCGTTATAAATTGAAAATTTTACGGTATGTAAGCCAATTATTTGATAAGGGCTCTGTCCCGCAGTGGACTGATTGTAACGACATGGATCCCAGTAGAACACCGAAGTCAAACATCACTGGCAGCCGTCAGTAAGCAGGTGCGTGAGCACTTTGATCAGCCGGCATAGAGACAGAGGGTGCGCGGTATCGGTCTTCGTTAAGCAGTTCTACTGTGAATTGCTCGACTTCGTACTTAGGTCGTCGGGCTACCAAAGCAGAGGAATTGTAGTTTACTTACGTCGCACTAGAGCTGCACAATGGGCTATTGGAGACGCTCTGGGAAACATCCTTGAGCATGAGCAGAAGACATGCCATCACAATTTTGATACTCTGCAGAATGGATGGCACCCCCGCTTCAGTAGCCCGACGACCTGTACGCGAAGTCGAACACTTTACGATAGAACAGTCTACCAAGAACCAATACCGCACACCCTCGGTCCCTACGCAGACTAATCCAATTGGTCTCCCACCCGCGCACTGACCGCAGCCAGTGATGCTTGACTTCGATGATTTGCTGGGAACCGCGTCTTAACAATCAGTCCACTGCGAAACAAAGCAGAGAGAAATCAAATTTGAGATGGCATGTCTTCGAATCAGCCTCAGGGATGTTTCACATAACGTCGCCAATAGCCCATTACGCAGCTCTAGTATGACGTAAATAAAGTACCTTACTACCTACCTTGATAATGGCTCTGATTTTTAGTCCCGCGGTGGACTGATCGTTAAGACACGGTTCCCAGCAGATCACCGAAGTCAAGCATCACTGGCTGCGGTCAGTGTGCGGGAGGGTGACCACTTGGATCAGTCTGCGTAAGGACCGAGGGTGTGCGGTATTGGTCCTCGTTAAACTGTGCTACCGTAAAGTGCTCGACTTCGCGCGCAGGTCGTCGGGCTACCGAAGCGGGGGTGCCATCCCCTCCGCAGAGGATCAAAATTGTGATGGCATGTCTTCGGATCATCCTCCGGGATGTTTCCCAGACCGTCGCCAATAGCCCATTGTGCAGCTCTAGTGCGACGTAAATTAAGAACAACAGCAACGGCTCTGATTTTTACAGTTGCGATTATCGAAAATTGTTTAATCGTTGTTAATGTTCTATGTTTAAATAATTGTTTCGGAAAGTGATCTTTAATTTTTGTTTTTTATTACGTGCAATTAATAATGGTACAAATATTTAATTTATTTTTTTTTTTAATTCTTCCAAAGAACTTAAGTAATGCTTAAAATTAGTTTTGCACTTTTCAAGAAATCCTAAAAAAAAGTAGTTTAATATACATTTAGCTTTCTCTTGAAAAAAAAACAGAAAGCGTGACTTAACAGATAATTTAACTCCAGTTACACCCTTTTCCATATTATCTACTTAAAAGTTTCTTGAAGTCTGATATTCTTATACATTAATAATGCTCTTAACTTTTTGCTCCAGTAACGATTCTTTAAAAAAAAGGAGGTAAAAAAACAATTTGCATTAAAATTTGATTAACTTTATTTAATCACACAAGTTTTAGTGTCAAGTTTTTCCATTAAAGTGCCCAGATTATAATCGCGTGATATAAAATAAGAGAAAAGCTGTTTAAACTTTCGTAAAAAATAAATGAAAGTCATTTATTCGGCAGTCAAACGGTTAGTTTTCCAAGCTTTAAGCGATGGTAAATTATAAAATACAAGTTATTTGTTTTCTTTCTTTGCATATAATAATATTCTTCTAAGTTAGAAATAAATTTAATTAATTTGAATTGCGTTATTTATTTACCACGTTTAGCTTCCTAACTTTCTAGTTATTTTAAGTTAATGAGTACGAAAAGAAACGAAACTTTTTCATTTTAAATCAAATATCCAGTAAAGAAAAACAAATTTAAACAGCTAGAGGAAGTTTTGATGTTGAGTGAGTTGAAATAATTTAAATGTATAATTTACTTCAATTTATTTTAACTAGATAAAAAAATTGTTTTCAATGCTTTAAAATGATAACTCTTATTCAGTGGTTTTATAAATTCAATTTTATCTTATAACCGTCGTTGAACAGCAGAAGAAAATTTTGGATTAATGACTGCTAAGATTCAACTTCATAGCCTCGTAATTTTGAACCCAATCCAGAAGACAAAAAAACTCCTAAATCAAGTAATGGGAGATATTTGTCCCTTTTTGATAAAACTAATACGCATTTGCATTACATGGTGCGGAAAACCACGAAGACCTCTCACAGTTAGCCTCATGGCAAGGAGCCTCTATCCCATGATCCGTCTACCACTGAGAATATTTTAAATCAGCACTGTGGTCGGTGCGAGTTAGTTGCGGAATTCGTATTGACCAGCAATCGCTGAGATTCGAACCCAGTTCACAACATTAGTAGGTGAATTTTTTATCCCCTGAGCCACCACGGCCTAAATATAAAATGTAGAATGCGTCACGGTTTTGCGTGACATTCTTGCTCAAGGTCCTTGCTAATCGTCTCTGTTTCGTTCCAATTCTAGTATATGTACTGTCGAAGCAATTGTGTTTCAAGCAGCGTTCTGTTTTAATTTTTTTATAATTCAAACAGTGTTTTTAATGTTACCGTCCTTCGAGATTATTCAAGCCTCTTTTTTATTTTAAAACCTCCGCCAGCTCAAGAGCATTTATTTTACAGACTAAATCAATAAATTAAGATGGAATTAAGTAATAATTAATTTACAGACTAAATTAAAGTTATAAGACATGGATCAACAGTTTACTCAATGTTTAAATGCATGAAAATTTTCTAAAACATACAAGCTAAATACATAAAAAAACCTCAACATAGGGTAACTTAGGACAACAGTAAAAATTCAAGACTTGGTTTGCGCTAGCTGGTAATGGGGTAACAAAAGGCTAAAAAAAAATCTACAGTGTACATAGTAAGGAAGGAAACACAAAGATTAACTAACTTTTGATCAAATAATCGCTTTCTCTCATTCTAAGAATTCAATATTTATAGTTAGAGAGTTTATTTTAAAGTTTGCTAATTAATTTGGGCAGACGATATTTTAAGTCACGAAACCAGACACAAAACGCACGGATTTACAAATGATTCGGATTCTTGACCCTCAAATCAGGGGGGGTGAGGGGAGGTAGCTGAAATCTAGAAAATGTGACAATTTATTTTGGCCAGAAGATTACTGCTTCTCTTACTTTCACTTGAGTAGTCCACCATATGACGGAAAATAATTAAGAGTGTTGCCCTAGAGCGCTTTGTTACCTCGTGGACGAAACAACAATGAATTTATATTTATAGAAGAAATTCCAATGGGAAACATAATCAGTTAAGCAAACCAATCATAAAAAATTTTGAAGTTACGTTTAAAGTATTTTTAAAGAGTTCTACAAGCTGGGATAGCCTGGTTGGTAGGGCCCATGTCCAAGAGGTCGTGATTTCGTTCCCCGCCGGCTGAAGACTCCCCGTGTTGTAAATGATGACTGGTGCACGTTAAATCTGTCTGGTCTGAAAATCCTTCATGTTCCCATAGCAAATTAATACATCTAGGGGTTCTGAATTGGAGATTGATTGTTCTCTGGTGGTTCAGCTCAAAATTACGATCAGTGGATGAATGAATGGGTCCACCCTATAAACGGGCTGTGACGCGTGTTGCTAAAGTCCTATTCTTAGCCATAGATGGCGTCACTGAAGAAAGAGAAACGCGTTTTTTGCTTTAAGTTCGTTTGGCATGCATGCAAGCATGCAAAACAAATTTGTAAGCATTTAAAAAAAATTTAATTTAAGTATTGCTAGCATTTAAAAAAAAAGAAAATTGCAAGCATTTAAAAAAATTCTCAACTATGTCAATTGTAAGTTCTTATTTATTAATAATTAAATATATTAAATTCTTATTTATTAATTTTAATACGTTTTTAACTATATGAAGTTGAGATAAAAAAAAACATTAAAAAAATTCTTTTTTTTCTCTTTTGTTTGCTACAAAGTTTCAGTACTGGTATGTCAAATAAATAGATTTAATCCTGGTAAATTTAATTTTAACCGACTTCCATTTTTAAGAAATTAAAGGAAATTGTTTCAAAAAACCCCATGATATTCTTTTAAAGCAATTTTTATTTTCAGTTCACAGGTTGACTTCAGGTTTTCAACAAATTGACAAATTGCATTAAATAAATAATGCTTCGCTTTTTTTCTTTATTCTTATATTGACTCTTCGTTCTATTGTTTCTTAAAACTAAGTAAATTGTAAACTCAAACCATTTACTTTTATGTAAAATAAACTCAACATATCCCCTTAGTATAAAAAAAATTATATTCACTTATTTGATTTTTAAATAGAAAAATTACATCTCACTTCATTAGATTAGATTCTGTGAAACAAAGCGCTGTTTTTGAAATACGCTAAATACTCTTTCCGGTTAATTCCGTTCAATGTTCTTAAATATTTCTTTCTGTTTAAATATGCATGCTTGGCTCGCTAGTCTTGTTCCTTAATAATCAGTTTACGGTAAGTAATTGCTTTTTTCCCTAACATCAGAAAACTTATTTTCTGAACTTTAGCGTTCACACCCTAATCTGTGCCAAATAATTACTCAAAGTTATAGTTTAAATGTCAATTCAATTACAAGAGAAAACATTTTATATTTTTTATAATATTATATAGGAAATTGTGATGGAACTAATTTCTTTAAATTCCTGAGACTTTAGCTTTAGGTAGTGGAAGAAAATACGAATTTTGGTTCAGAAATATTTCGCGTGAATACACATAAATACAATAATTTTTTTTTAAAAAATTCAATTGATTAAACTTTATTTACTCCGTTAATTATTTATAATTATATCATGAAAAGTGATAAATTTTAATTTTTAGAAATTAGTAATTATAGTAGGAAATTTAATAGTGATATTTTGGTCATCAAACAAAATTTACTTGACTCAAATAATAAGATATTTATAAGTCAGAAAATTTTAAGAAGGGTTACTTTAATTAAATTTCTTACATTTAATTTTGTTTCAATGAGGGAAAATTTAATTATATTTTTACAAAAACAGTTGCTTCTTAGATGCATGCAAAAAGAAAATAATCTTAAAACTCAAAGAGAAAATAATCTAAATTTCTTAGAGATAAACTTTTTGTATTTTGTGCGTACAGTAAGTACATGGAGGAAAAATTTGCGGTAAAATTACGGTACTGTATAGTAATAATATTTCTAGTAAAAAAAATAATTTAAAATAAAAAAATTTAAAAAAATACGATTCACTACAAAATGAAAAATATTGTGATTCGCGGCAAGGCCATCACAGGCTACCCATTGACAAAATGGTTGTTGTCTAATTTTGTTTGGAAAAGAAACTTTATTTTGTTTTCATCTTGGACATTTTTAACTGTTAATCCTGAGCTGCTCGGCATACAATTTCGCAGACATATTTAAATGCAGTTCAGACACTTTCTGTGTAAATTCTTTTGATGACAGAATAGGCATTGAACAGCCAATCAAGATCAATATAAACATTTTCGGATTGGTACGATGGTGTTTGATGGAGATTGTAAGCTGCATCATACACCCGTTTCGGACTCACAAGTTCATACATGAAATATGATTTGAAAGGTAGCATTTTTTTCAATTTTACATGAACAGTGAATGAATCATTTATATTGCGTGGAAGACAGTCTACGGTCTTGTGCAAGTCATTGGGCACGAGGACTATGGATCCTTTCATCCCTAACTGCTGATCAACACCCTGTTCTCGTATTTGCATGAAAGGGGTTCGGAGAAACACCATTCGCTCTTCGGTAGGTTCACTTCTCTCAACCACTTTAGTACTTTTGTGAGGGACGGGCTTCATGCTTACGTTTGCGAACGAAATCTTTTCGTTTTTCTGTTTGTGCGTAACGCTTAAGATATTCTCCGGTCTACGTTCTTTGGCTTTTTCAGCCTCGGTAAGTTTAAGCCTTGGCATCGTTTTTTTTTTCTGGCTTAAACCCTAACTTTTGGGACCGTGTCAATCAGTTTGGATCCTTTTTATTTGTGTTATTAACCTGATTTACCATTGAAAACGATCCAGATTAAACTGTAGGTCAGAATTTTTGCTTCTTAATTAAAACAATAAGAACAAAAATATCGTTCAAATGATGAAATTCTCATTTATTCACAACTCAAGAAGTATTTATAGGATCTCTCTGATCCCATATCTCATAAATAAACTCACTAACTTAATGCATAGCGAAATTAAAAGTGAATAAAAGAATTCTAAAAAAATTATCAAACAGCAACGGTCGCCATAGCAGCGCATACACACTGTTTACTATTACTCCTGATTATTGCAGTTGAAAAGTGCGGAAGCCATGAAATCCAAACCAAGACCCATTTTGCCAATGGGTAAAAAACATAATTTCTGGCATTAAAAACCTAAATATAATTTTTCCGTTCAAATGGAAAAAAATCTAGCAGAAATTCTGGTTTTTCAAATTATACTTGTTATTACCACACATTTAGACAAAAATGCAAAACTGAAAAGTAAATTTAACCGAATGAATTATTTTTATGCCGTGTTTTCGGCGTTATCGTAATAAAATAACCGAATTTTGTCACTGTTACCAAATTTTACCTCATATTATAAAATTACATTTTATTGGTGATTTCACTAAAATAATTTCCAAAGCGCTTTAGTACAAATTATCGAGCTTTTTTGCTGTTCATGTAAAACCAGAAACATAGTAAATTTAACCATACTCTGGTAATTTCGATTTCATATTTTACTATATTTTTATAGTGGTACTATACTTATTTTACTGTAATTTTATGTACTATACCTTATTTACTATATTTTTATAGTGGTATTTTAGCTATGAAACAAAAACCATTTGACTCAAATAATGAAGAAAAAAAACAGTTTCGGAGAACAGTTTTTAAAATTTTTTTGTTTATTTAGTTTTAAAATACTATAAAACTTTTTAACTTGCAGCAGTTTTAAGATACTAAAACAGAGTACTTGCTAATGCTTCAAACACTTTAAAGGGGGGAAAAGAAGACCTGTTAAAAGGTCATGTGCCATAAATTTAACCCTTTCGTTGTCGTCGTCACATTTTTTAAGTTCGGCATTTTCGTGCCCGTATGGTCGACAAACAGAAATAATATATCATTGGAATTGAATTCGTTGCTCCTTACACGTCTGTTTAAATCAAGTGACTATTTTTGTATTTCTGAATATTAATAAGAGATAGCGCAACTATAACCCCATTTTTTTGACAATTTTCACTGTGAAATTTCCCGCCTTGAATTGAAATCAAAATCATTTTGTACTTTCTGTAATTTCGCTTTCATTAGTGTTGCCGTTGCATGCTAAAATAGTTTTGATGTATTCAGAGAGTGAGTCTGAGGACAGTGAGTTTATTATCTCTAAGTCGGAACAAGACAGTTCTCATTTAACATTTTTAGACATTCTCATTTAACAAAATATTTTTACCGGATTGTAATAAGTATTTTATGCAGATATGTATCTTAAAATCCTTAAAGCAATTGAGTTAATATGTTATCACAGT